CCAGATGTACTAAAAATACTAGACTTGTTTTCCTTCCATAACCATTGGTGCTGTTAACTTTTTAAAACTCAAGACAAGCTTAGTTTTTCATGTATGAAGACATTAAAGTACTGCAGTACCAAAAAAAAAAAAGATTTTGTAGCGTGAACAATGTCATTACATATGTTACAACATATCTTTATAAAAACTATTTTAAACTTTACCTTTCAGTCGGACTTAGTGTAATGTTTCAGAACCATTCTTCAAAGAATGAAACACTAACCATGCATGTGAAAAATAAATAAGGGAAGAGATTTACTCCCCCGCTCTTCTTGCCAGAATATCTACCTTAGAAAACTTATAAATACAAGTATTTTCTCAGTCTCGTTGACATGTATCTTTTTAGAAACTAAATAAGCCCTGTCAGCTTTATGTAAAAACAGGAATGTCCTCTCCACGACCTGGGAGCCATCTCTTTGCAATACGAGCATCGGGAGGTGGCACCGCTCCCGCGTCTGTGGGACACAGGAGGCTAGCTCCAGGTTGTAACAGTACTTTCTGTCATAGAGAGAGTTTGTCCCCCCACCCTCTGGATGATTAGCTCATGTAGGTGCTCACCCGTTACCAGGTTGTGTTAGGAAGAACTGTGTGTAACTATTGGTGCTGTCCAGTTCTTAGTTAATAACTAGCTATTGTTTATCTTGAGAACTTATGTGCAATGGGTCACATCTGTTTGGCTCTGGAAAGGGTTGAGAGCTGTCTTTGCAATCAACCTCTTGGCCAAGTGCCTGCGGGAAGCATCACTCCGATTTAATGCTCAGTGGATAAAACAGTGTTTTCTTCTGCTGTTACCCTTGTGGAGAGGGTTTCTAGGTTGAAAGATCTGTGTTTTTAAAAAAATTATATTTTTACAGCAGCACCTTCATCCTTCATTCTGAAGTTACTGTTTCTTTTTTACTCACACTTTCCAGATCCATGGGGAGAAGTATTTTAGGTATATAGGTGGGGTGGGGTTTTTTGTTATATATTTTTTAAATCCTTGCCTGAAGATGTGTTTTAATTGATTTCAGAGAGAGGAACGGAAAGAGAAACATTGATGTGAGAAACATCAGTTGGTTGCCTTTTGTATTGGCCCCGACCGGGTTTTGAACCCACAGCCTAGGTATGTGCCCTGACCAGGAAGCAAACCCACAACCTTTCGGTGTAAGGTCCACAGTCCAACTAACTGAGCCATCTGGCCAGGGCAAGGCATATAGATGTTTTTGTTATAAACCTCCTCCCTTCTACCCAGCTTCTAACATAAAAGTTAAAGTAATTGGAAATAGTGATGTTACAAAAGTTGAGGCTATGATTGTAGTTTTCTGGCTTGTAGTTGAGTAATTACATGCCAGTCTGTCATGTTGAATAAGAAATATGAGTTAATGATTTCATTTCTTTAACAGAAAAAAAAAAAAGTTGTTTGGTTTTTAATTTTGTATACACATTTTGTGACAGAAATTAATTTTATCATCCAATAATCTGTTCATCTTTCTCTAGTCTAAATGGTTTCCTTCATTACTTTTCATTGTAAAAAACATATCAAAGTAATACATATACATAATTATATATCAAAGTAATACATATAGTTTTTTTTTAAGGCCAAATAATTCTACATAGCTTATAATGAAAAACAGCAGCGACTTATCAGCATTTCAGCATCAGGACTTGATCAGAGAAACAGAACACTAGCAATGATATAGTGGTTCTCAACCTTCTGGCCCTTTAAATACAGTTCCTCATGTTGTGACCCAACCATAAAATTATTTTCGTTGGTACTTCATAACTGTAATGTTGCTGCTGTTATGAATCGTAATGTAAATATCTGATATGCAGGATGGTCTTAGGCGACCCCTGTGAAAGGGTCGTTCGACCCCCAAAGGGGTTGCGACCCACAGGTTTGAGAACTGCTGATAGAGAATAAAGGAGCTGTGAGAGAGGTGTTACCTGACACAATTGTGGGAGCCTGTGGAAGAGTCTGTGTAAGGCTTTTGCTTCTGCATCTGGGCAACAGGCCTAAAATCAGCAGGGCAGGCAGTCTGGAAGGGAAGATAGACTTGAAGTGGGAGAGAGAAAGGACAAACTTGAACCTGCACCAACCTCTCATGCTTGCCAAGCCTCTAACTTGTATGAGGCAGGTGCCCTTCATCACAGAGCTAAACCTTGCCTGGCCCAGGGCTGATGAAGCCGAAAAATGTCACATCTGAGTTATTTCCTAGAATGACTAAGTGAATCTATCAAAGTAAACACCTGAGTTTATTTCCTCAGCATGCTGTTGATCTCCCTTACAAGAGTTTAAGAGCTACTATTTATTAAATGTTCTAAGAATGTACTTATGGAATAAAAACTGGTGGTCTCACACCAGTTGGGCAGCCTGCAAACAAATGTGTCTGTGTGTATATGCTCATTACAGGAAAGTTGGAAAATACTGAAAAGTACAGAGAAAACACACACAGAGGCACAATAGCTTAGGCATTCCTTATTTCTCCCTGGAGCTGACCTCTTGGTTTATATTTTTGGGGTGTAGGAGATACACCTTCCTACAAAAGGTATGGTTCACACATTCGGTATGAAGTAAAAACAGTTCCTAAAATATGCCCAGGGTGGCAAAACAAAATCCACAAAATGCCCCTCTTTTCTGGTCCATGAGAGAACATCATTCTGAGTATGTGCAACATGTCTATGTATCTATGTACACACACATGTAAAACAACTATATGTATTTTTATCCCAGTGCCCTTATGCTTCCACTTTCTTATGGCTGAGATGCAACTGTGTTTCAGACTTCTCTATGGAAAACAGTCCTGGAAAGCCTTTCAAAGCCAAGAACCTGAATGGTTTGGGATAATCTTTTCAGCTACTCACGTTAAGATTTATTTGTGTAAGAGCATTAAAGATCATTTTAAAACCTCCTGTTAAAACAATATTAAAACAATCTAATACTAATGTAGAGTATAACAATTTGAAATTCCACTTGAGGTGGCTGTTCACAAGAGAATTTGAAGTTTAAGCCAAAGTTACGATGAACTGGTATTAAGTAAAGTATCAATAGCCATCTTAAGAACATCAAATGTGAACTCTACACTCAGCTCCTCCCATAAGCCAGGAACTGGATTAGGTGCTGGGGGAGTTGCAGAGCTGAGTAAATAAAACACACCATCTCTGCCCCCAGGAAACGGGTGGGGGTGGGGCCAACAGAAGTAGAAATTTAAATGCAATATAACAGAATAAAACAGAGATTGATTTAAAGGAGCCATGGGAGGAAGGTCCCATGGAGAGACAGAGTTGAGGGCCCATCAGAATTTTGCATGGTATCCGTGTTCCTGAAAAAAGGAACAGTTCAGCAGAGCTCCTTATGAGCTCCTTAACGAGCTCAGTTTGGATAGGATCTAAACTGCAAGATGCTGCATGGTTCTTCGGACTTGTTTGTGCTATTTTATAGATGCAATAAAAACCATGAATTGATTCGGGATATGGGGGAGAAAAGAAGAAAAGCCCTTGTTGTGTGGTGGAGTTGGAGAAAACAGTATGAACAAGAACTCAGAGTCAGGAGAATGAGGAGAGTGTCCAGGGAACATTTCAGTGGTGGTAAGAAGGGGGAGACCAGGTTGGGACTAGACTGGGGCAGGCCTCTGACAACAGGAAAATAGGTATGAATCTACCCTGTAAGCAATGGGAGCCATCGGTGTTCGTTGAGGAAGAAAGTAAAAATTCAACCTATTTTAAAAGATGCTGCAACAAAAAAATAAAATAAATGATACTACAAGTATTTATATACTTATAAAGTCAGTGTATACTCTGGTTTTAAAATATTTCCTGATTTTAATAAATATCTTGCATTAAGTGTTCATTTTATCAGTCAGCCACTTTGATTTTCTTAAAATCTATTATATATTGATGAGGAAGCTGTCTCTCCAACTTATGAATACTATAACACTGCTGTTTTCTGTGTATACCATTTTTGATAGAAAACCCTATTTAATTGTTTAAATGAAATAAACCAAAAGTAAATACATTGCAAAAATACATTTTAATACATTGTGGAAAATACATAGTGAAAAATACATTGTATTAAAATGTGTTTTTTAAAATACATTTTAATACATTTAAAATACATTGAACATTAGCATTTAGATCGTTATTTACAATGGTATTTACAATCAATTTTACTATAATTTTTGTGAACAGAAAGGTAACTACAGAGAGCTAACTATGGACATAAAACTATCTCCAGCTGCTTCTTTCTAACACACAAACCTGGGTAAAAAGGGTAACAGTTAAAAGTGCTACAGTTCAAAATCATTCTGATTAAATTAGGTCCTGACAAATTCTTCTGGGTTAAAAAATGCTAAGTCAGAAGAGGAGGCAAGTGTGCACAATCTCCACTTCCTCCCATTTTCACACTGTCGCATCCTGACTTCACTGACTTGCACTTGAAGTAAACCTGTACCTGAATTCTGGGAAATGTCACAAACAACAGGCCTTCTAAATCCAATGTATTACTTTAAGCCCATTATTATGAGTTTATAGCAGGTGGTTTAACTTTGGAATAGACTTCTTTAGATATCAATGCTAACCATCTATTAAACCTTTATTTTTAATTACAAAAAATTTAAAATTTTTCAATTATAGTTGACCTATTAATCATTTTTATGACTAATGGCTGTTCTAATGGTCAACAAACGACCAAGTGGGGTACCTCAACTGCCAGTGTTTCCTGTGTGCTTTTAGTGAAGTTAACTGTCTGCACTATAAAATCTTATGGTTTGATTGAAAGGCTTGTTTTGACTGATAACTGATATTAAGATCAACAAAATGATTCTGAATCCCTCTTTGCTACAGAAGAATTAGATGCAAATTTGAATGGCCTGAGCTAATAAAATTATCCACCGATCACTTTCCTTCAGGTTAAAGCAGCGAGCAGTCTGCCATGGCATTTCCTATATAGAAGTCTGTGTAACTTTGTGACAGATAAACTGGTAGTAATATGAATAGATGATAACTGGAAATCCAGTTTGGCTTTTTAAACTACAAATGGTTGGCAACTGTTTCCTTAATAGTTATTGCAGGAGTAGGTCCAACATGAGTCCATATATAGCCCTTTTCTGGTCTGGTGGGAATTGTGGGAAATGGTGATGAAAGTGACTTGAAATATTCAGAGGGTGCATGACAAACAAACTCCAAGTATTCCATCTTCCTGGGAAGATCCTCCTCTGGTCCTAAAGGCGCCAATGGAAAGGTTAAACACATTTTGAACATGGATATCATTATCATAAAATGTTAAAATACCTAGACACTAGGAGAGACCAGTCTGGTCGTACCTGACGTTAGTCCTTGGAACATATATTACTATGAAGTTACTCATCATTTTTTCTATTTTAACTGCTTAAGGAATATAGCATTCTCCCCAAAATAGTGACTCAATATAGAAAGGAATCTTAACACATTGTATGCGGGAAACGTATTTATACGTTCTACCAGTGTAGTAGAGCGCGGGACACGTATTAATACGTTTTTTATAGACTAGCGGTAGAATGCAGGTAACGTATAAATACCTAAACTAAAGTTATCGTAATTTTACTGAACATTGCCATTTGCGCAAAAAATTAGCAAAAATGGTCCGCGCCACCTGTTAGCGCGCGATAAAAACTACCCACAAACAATGTGTTAAAAAAATAATATTTAGCCTTACACAGTGTTTATTATATATGCCTGCACTGTTCTTAGTACTGACACATATCAATACATTGAATCCTCGCAAAGCCCTCTGTGGTAGGCACTATTATTGTTTCCATTTTACAGATGAGGAAACTGAGACAAGGATTAAGGAACTTGCCCAACATCACACAGCTACGAACCCAGACAGTCTGGCCCCCGAGGTTGTGCTCTGGCATCTGAGGAAGAGGAAGGGGAGGTGGGAGGGGAGCAGGAGGAAATTCTGTCATATCACTGCCTCTGCTGACAATCCTATCCAATCAATCAGGTAGAGGCCCGAAATTCATGCACTCGCGGGGGGGAGAGTAGGGGGGCAGGGGTCCCTCAGCCCAGCCTCAGGGAATGTCTGACTGATGGCTTAGGCTCGCTCCCCATGGGGATGTTCATCAGTGGGGCATCCTTAGCGCTGCCATGGAGACAGGAGAGGCTCCCGCCGCCACCACCACTGTGCTCGCCAGCTGTGAGCCCAGCTTCTGGCTGAGTGGTGCTCCCCTGTGGGAGTGCACTGACCACCAGGGGGCAGCTCCTGCGTTGAGCATTTACCCCCTGGTGGTGTGGGTGTCATAGCAACTGGTCATCCTGCCAAAACAGGCTCTCCGACATCCCCGAGGGATCCTGGATTGCGAGAGGGCGCAGTCCAGGGTGAGGGACACAACAGGTGCACTATTGGGGCCGAGGAGGAAGACTGGAGGTTGGCCAGCCGGAAAGGGACTGCAGGAGGGCTCCAGGGTGTGTCCGGCCCGTCTAGCTCAGTCCCGATCAGCGGGATACCAGCAGCCCGTCCCCCTGGTGGTCAGTGCCCATCATAGCAAGTGGTTGAGCAGCCTCAGCATATTATTAGCATACTAGAGGCCTGATGCACGAAATTTGTGCAAGAGTAGTCCTTTCCCCAGGCTGGTGGCACTTGCTATCCCTCTGGCACCCAGGACCTGAGCTTCCCTCTGGCTGCCAGCAGCCACCCAGGACCCGGGCTTCTCTCGCAGCCCAGCTTTGTCCGGAAGGTCCTTTGGAAGGATGTCCAGTCTAATTAGCATATTACACTTATATCATTATAGATTACGCTTTGATTGGTTGAATGGTTGACCAGCTGACCGGACACTTAGCATAGTAGGTTTTTATTATATAAGATAAGCAGAAAACTGGTCATGTATCAAACTTGACATGCAGGAGACAATAACAATGAAATGTTATTTGTCCCTGAGTTCTCCCTAAAAAATGTTGTGTTTTCTCCTCAGTGCAAAAGTAACCCATGCCCACTACAGAAAGGTTACAAAGTTCAGAGTTACAGAACTCTGAATACTTTCAAAATTGAATTACTCAGTAACTTCTTGTGAGTCTACATAAAGAATTATTTGTACCATTTCTTTTTTTTATTATTTTTTAAATTTTTTAAAAATTATTTATTGCTTAAAGTATTACAAAGAGTATTACAAATGTACCATTTCTTTTGGCAGCACTGAAATTAGTCAGAGTACAGTGGCTGCCATTTCAAAGATCGACAATGATATGTTATAAAAGGTCTAGAACAAGCATGTCAAACTTGCGGCCCAGACAATATAATGGGATGTAAGAAATGTTTTAATAAAAATTTCATAACTCAATTTTTATAATATCGTTATACATTATTATTTATAAATCTCTTTATCTCACTCCCTGGATGATTCCATCTGGTCTGTGGCCTTTCAGACCATCTCTACGCTAAGGACTCCTGGACCTGTCCCGCAGGCCAGACCCTCTTCTGCACACCAACCCACATCTCTCCACCTTGACCCTCGCCTTTGAGTTTGACATGCTTGGTCTAGAACAGGGGTGGGCAAACTTTTCGACACGAGGGCCACAATGGGTTCTTAAACTGGACCGGAGGGCCGGAACAAAAGGATGGATGGAGTGTTTGTGTGAACTAATATAAATTCAAAGTAAACATCATTACATAAAAGGATACAGTCTTTTTTTTTTTTTAGTTTTATTCATTTCAAACGGGCCAGATCCGGCCTGCGGGCCGTAGTTTGCCCATGGCTGGTCTAGAATGATTATGTGTGACATGAAGAAGGATGCATATTGAGACTATGTAAGATTCTAGAAATAACTGTGATAGTTCCTTAAGAAATTATTTTTAGATTTTTATAAGTAACTTAAATAACCTAGTTCCTGAGCAATAAATTCTTTTAATAGTTTAATCTTGGGTCACTTAAAAAAATTTTATCCACATTACTTTTTAGTAGGTGCATACAGGCCTAACTCTAAACAACTGGCAGCACTCAAAGCCCAGCTGTATAAAATGTTTCTGTTTTTTATAAAGCTCTCTATGTGTACTTAATGGTACTTATGCTTCTTTGTTATGGACTGAATTGTACCCCTCCCTAATTCATATGTTGAAGCCCTAACCCTCAAATGATGGCATTTGGAGACAGGGATTAGGGAGGTTATTAAGGTTAAATGAGGTCATGAGGGTGGAACCCTAACCCACCAGGATCGATGTTCTTATAAGAAGAGACTGAAGAAGGACTGTGTTCAACAAGAAGGTGACAGTCCACAAGCCAGGAAGAGAGCTCCACCAGCAACTAACGCTGAGAGCACCTTCATCTTGGACTTCCAGCTTCCAGAACAATGAGAAAATAAATTTCTGTTGTTTAAGCCATTCAGTCTGTGGTATTTTGTTATGGTAGCCTGAGCAGACTAATGCATTCTTATACCTAATAACAGAGACTTACCTGGGTCCAAGGACCTGTACCATTTGACAAACTCACCTATGATGTAGGATGCAGGATCGAATCGGTCCGTGGGGCTAGAAAGAGTGGGGATGAGCCACGTCAGTGCTGCGCTCTTCTCACAGTACTGGTCCTGGATAAAACCCCGGATCTGAGCATAGTAGGATTTTCCATCTTGCTCATCAATCACAGAAACAACATCTCCAATTTGGTAATATACCCCCTGGTGGAAATAGAAGATAATCCCACATTTAAAATAAATAGAACAGCACCAGAGCTATGAATGGAAACTTCCTTAATGTAAAAGAAAGAGTTTTCAAAGTGGTCAGTAAAAGGGCTCTGAGAGGACTGATAAACTGATGTGTACATGGTTGATGCCAATTCTAAAACTGTTTCACTTTTGAATGAAAAAAATTTTACACACACACAACTTGCATCTGGAGAAAATGTGCTTATAAAAATACTTTGATTTTCTATCACAACAATACTGTCCCTACTTTTTTGGATAGAAAAATTGAGCTGTAGAAGTGCTGCTAAGTGCCTTGCTGAAAGCCTCTAAAGGCAGAGCTGCAGCTGAGGTTCCTACACTAGCTCAGCGGTCTGTTTCTATACTGGCTTGAAAATCAGTGCTTATCTGGTGAAAATATGCTCTATATACCTTCCTCCTCAACCATCAATTAGGGAAAAGAGATACTACAAACTGAAGCCAAAGAAATGATAGAAGCTCTTCTGATTGTAATAGGTCTTCAGGGTAGGTTTTACCCTCAATTTACCATACCTTTCCCCAGTCCCACTGGCAGCTGTCTCCTCCCTTCCTATTCTCTGTGATATTCTCCCACAAGACAGTCACTGGTATTTCTGGCATTCAAGGCTTCATGTCTTATCCATACTCTACTTCATACCCAACTAACTAACCTGTGCATATTTTGTGTTTAGAACCCTTATAACTCTGCCTCTGCCTTCTACCCTATGTCCTCTTCCCTGGGTCTTGAACTGGAAATAATCTCTCATTTGAACATCCATAATAGCTGATTCAAATATTTATGACACTCGGCACTTCCTTAGGTGCGTACAGGAACCAGCCTGCAAGGGTGATTCATTGCTGCTTCCCTCAAAATAGGGCCTTGGCAGCAGATAAAGCTGCTGGGGTGTGCACCTAAACCACAAAAATGATTCTGAGAAAATATTTCCAGTAACTGAGTTGTGACATGAGCACCTTAGACACCAGGAGTTTCTCCTGGACGCTTTATCCGTATGCCCGAGGGTGACTGTTGCATCTGGATCATTATGGATGGGCAGAGTCAATGTGGGCCACATTCCCCTACCCGCTGGTTACTAACACATGGCACACAGGAATAAATTACTGATACTTGCAATAATAGGTCTCGTGCTTTCCATCGACACATGCCTTAAAAATCATTAGTACATGAAGTTCTTAGCTTAGTCAGTTGCTCCTGGACTTAATCTGTAAACTCTGTGTTTAGCTGTGAAAATAACACACACATTTGAAAATGTGATGATGATAATTGTTCCTATTCACTGAGAGTTAGGTGCTTAAATATACATGATCGCACTTGACCAAATGAGTAGTTTCTATTTACAATTTCTATTTTATAGAATCTATATAATATAGATGAAGAAACATCAGAGAGCCCTGGCCAGTGGGGCTCAGTGGTTGGAGTTTCGGCCCTTGCACCGAAGGGTCATGGGTTTGATTCCATCAAGGGCACGTACCTGGGTTACAGTTTCAATTCCCGTCTTGATCGGGGCATGTGCGGGAGCAACCAATTGGTGTCTTTCTCACATAGATGTTTCTCTTTTTCCCCTGACCCCATTCTACTCTCACTAAAAAAATTATATATATCTTCAGGTGAGGATCCTTGACTCCCTCTGTCTCACCATGGACTTCCAGTAGGTGCTACTCCCCACTGCCCTTATCCTCCCACTTCTGCTTAAAGGCATTTTAGAATCCCAGTGCTGACTACCCATTAGACATCCTCTACGAGTCTAAATCCTGCCTCTGTCCTTCTCACCCTTCAGTGCCATCACATTGTCTAGGATGGCTCACTCTCATAGCTCCACACCATACATTGATATTTTAAAAATGATTCTCGTGATCTATGTTAAGAAATTCTCAAGATCCTCCTCATATTTCAATAGGCAACTTCCCCCCCATCTCAGCTCTGAGTGAAATGTTTTATAACAGCTACCTCTGGGAGAAACAGCTTAGAGAAGAATAAAAAACACAATCACAGACCTACAGACCCACCAAACGTTTTAGTAGCACATTATACAGTAGGCCCAAATTGTCCCCAGTAACTCTACAGGTGTTTACCTTATAGAAGATTGATTCTGCAGTGATTATGGTGGAAACTGACTCAGGCGCTTTGATGGGCTATGAAAAAAAAAGGTAAAATTATTAGCACATTCATACTGTGTATGTGTGTATATAGGCATTTTTTTCCCAACCATATATGAGAGTTCTGTAATTTGAGAAATACTAAATTTGTTGTTTGGTGACAAAAACTGCAAAAAGACAAATGATTTTCTGAACGTTGTCGCCAAGTGCAATATGAATATTTCCACTGCTATTTCTATCATTCGCTTAAAAATGGCTGGGAACTAGAGGACAAGCTTCCGATTATGCTGCTGAGAGCTAACACAAGCCCTTTCAGAGCTTTATTACATTTTAACATTTTAGGTGTAGAAATATATTGCCTCTAATGCCCTGAGCATGACAGAAATGAAATAAAAAATGGGTGAGCACTAAGTGAAAAAGTGCTTCCTCGATGACATTTTCATCTCAACCTGACTAATGAACCAGCTATAACTTGAGATATTATCAGAACCCATTTTCTAGCAAGCCTGAACTAAGGCTAAAAGAAACTTTCTTGGGAGTTCTTATAAATCTGCCACCATCCACCCACCACTGAAATCTGTTCGTAAGCTGAAATATACTCTTTTATGCCACAACAGAGAAAGCAGGCCTCCCAAAATATGTCTTGGTATCATCCTTGAAGAGTTTGCTAGAAAAATTGATACTGAAATAATTGCAGAGAATATAGTCTATCATACGTAAGAATAAAACATGTTTAAGTGATACAACTATAAATAATCAAATGAATATTAACCTGTTTTGTCTAACCGACAAATGCCTCATTTTTAGAAAATTAAATTATTAAAATCTTAAATGAATTAGAGGCAACTACTCTTAGTAAGAAAAGAATCCACAACTTGTACAATATCCTGGAGGCCCCTTTGTGTTTTATGAATGAATACGCCTTTACTGGTCAGCCCTCGTTCCTGTTCTGAAGAGGAAATGTCTCACTGAGGATTTAAAAAGCTGCCTACAAGGCATTGCCCATTGCGTCTGACCATGTCCCCTTGTGTTTACAAAGATAAGGAGAACTTACTGCACTGAAAGTGTGCTTGCAACCACTCCCACCACCAGTCTTTCAACAATCTGTGTTCTTACAGCAGAACAGGGAAAGGTTTAGCAAAATTTTAATTCGTATTCATCAAACTGATCCTAAGTCAGTAAAATGCATTTTTTTTTCTGGGGCTAAAATAACAAATGCATAAATAAGTTCCAGTATTATTTACTCAGATCTTTAAAGAAGGAAAAAAGGTTTCCTGGTGTCCTTGGCCATACCATAAGCCTTTGCATAAAGAAGCCAATAAGACGCATCCGGGCGCACGTTTCCTCTTCCTCTAGACGCCTATTGTGTACCTCCCAGAGGAAAAGGAAAAAGGAAAACCCGAGCTTCCTGGAAAGAGGGGAAGTGTGGGCCACTCCCCGGTCACCACCCAGGAGCTCCGGGGGAAGGAGGAAGGTCGCGGTGGGATGCAGGCAGTGGCAGGACACAGTACACACAACGCCATGACAGTGGAAAAACAAAAACACAAACACCTTACGTTTTTTAATTTAAAAATGTGTCTTCTCCCTTTTCCTTTAGTGGAAACCTTCTTCTCAGCAGCCGGAGCAGACTTGTACTTGGTGTTGCGGAGCCGAGCGGACCTCCTGTGAATTTCCTGCTTACTCTGCTACATCGAGAATAAAACAGAGAGGAATGAATCCACAGCGCGGGAAGGATGCTGTCCCGACGCAGCCACCCCACAGGGGTCCCGGAGCGAAGCGCGCCCCTCCTCCCGGCCTTTCCTCCTCCTGCCGAGCGACCCCGTTATCTGGGCTCCGGGAGGCAGGGCGGGGCCTCGGCGAGCATCGCCGGAGCCTCCGAAAAGCGGACGTCT